TTCATGATGGGTCAACTAATAAAGCAAAACAAATCAAAATACAATATGTAGAATAGATAGATGATACAAAAGGATGATACCAAATCAAAGGATTGGTTGGTCTGAGCCTCCCATGATTACATCTTCAATAGCAGAAGAAGCTAAACCTTCAATCATCATTTTTGAAATGCAAGTCAGTGCATAGTATAGCAGGTAAAACTAGTTAATGATACATGCAAAATGTGAAAACTTACGTATAGCATGAGGCAAAACACCTTTACGTGTGTGGTAACCTTGAAATCGCTTGATGATCTTTGATTTTTGAATACTAACAAATACATCTCGCTCAATGTAACATACAATTCTATAATTCATCCAATCATCACCTATTTTGTTCCTCAATCCAATCTTGATAATGCTCATTGTTGAGAATGCTCTTTCCATTGTTGCAGTTGCAACAAGTAAAATCAATGCTAACTTAACAAGACGGTAAACCAATGGAAAAGTTGTGTGCATATCACTTTTAACCATATTAATGGCAAGATGACCAAGATCATTGCAATTATCAAATGTGGATCAGCTCTTGCTTCCCGAATGAATGAGTATAGTTGGTTTCTAAGGACAAAAGTAACTTCATATGTAGAAAAGTCAGCAACATACATATTAGCAAGATCTACCAGCCTGTCTTCATTATAATTAGCAAAGGAGATCTTGGGATCAAGACAAGCAATGCATCTCAACAATTGAGTAGACCTTTCAGCAAAGCAGTTGTTTAACTCCACAATAAGTTGATCATGCAACACATTGAATATTTCAATTTTGAAATGATGGTTGTGAGTTACCAATTGCCCACCCCAAGCCCTTGAACGTCCATTCGCAGTTCTTGTATCTTCCATATTTGGCACTACAATGTTGTATTTGACACAAAAGTCTGTTACCTCTTTAAAGAGCTCATCCCAACCATTCTGCATTATCTCTTGAATATCCTCTATATGGTTTTAATCAATCCCACAACACGTACAATATTCTAATTTTTTCCATTGCAAGCATTGTGACAGATCGTTAGTCTTTCCCAATAATCTAATCATAAGATGCAATAGGAGAACAAATTCGAAGGACTCCATGTGCTTTATCAACCCCGCGGTTGTGGTTCTTTGGGAAACTTTAGGTACATCCTTCCAAGATTTGAATCCATTTCTCGTGAATGCTTCAATACCATAGTTTTCAGCTCTTGGTTGCTTAAACAGAAAACAATAAAAGCAAAAGGCCGATTTTTTTCAATGCTATATTCCAACCAACCGCGATGATCATTGAACCAATAGCCATGAAAGATCCTACCATTTATCTTTTCATATGTATGATTAGTTGGTTGGCAAGGACCCATACTAATGTACTCCCTTCTAGCAAGATCTCTAATGTCTGGATCTAATTCCTCAATTGTTATTCTCTTACTGGGGTCCGATTCAACATCACCGGGTTTGAGTTCAGCTCTAACAGTGTATTATCAGCTATTTGAGTTGAATGACCTATTTCTGTAGTTTCGATGGTTCGAACTTGAAAAAATGAATTCAATCTCTTGTTTCTTTTATTCATCTTGCCTTCCTGTAAATTTTTAGAGAAACAAAAATTTCTCAATGTCAAAACAAGTTTCTACATCTAGCAAAGAGACAAACAGTGGCATCTAGCAACTAAAATCATCATCATCCTAACAACATGACATCTATAAACCAAAACAGGGCATCAAGCCATCAAAAGTTTAAAATTGTACTGAGAAAGTGTCTACCTCGCAGGACGCCGGGCTGCCTGCAGGCTGCAGCCTCGCGCCGCTCGTGCCGTAGCCTGGTTTGCCGCCTTGCGCCCTTGCCGCGTCGCCGGACACGGCGAACAGAACAGTAGTCGCAGGCCCATAGCGGCGCAGCCAGGGACGGGGGGAGGGGGGAGGGGGTCGGGCACTAAAACAGGGGCGATGGAAGGGGGAGATTCGGGGGGCACGGAGCTGGCCGGCGACGGCGGGTGGCGACCTGCGATGGCTTATGGTTCGTGAGGTCGCCAGGTCGGGTACAGAGCGCCTGGTTGTGCCTGGTTGCGATGTGAGCCACTGCGGCCTGCGTAGGCTGCGTTTGAGTTGGCCTTGGCGGCTGGGCCAGTTGGCATGGGCTGCGCCCCAGGCCAAAGTTCTTTTTTTAAATATAGGCCGACGAATTTTCCCACGCCCCAACCTGGGCTGTCTGGGACCCAAATCCGCCCATGTAGATAGGTACACCAGGGACATGGGAGCTCCTATGTGACGCTCTTCGCGTCAAGCAGTCGAGCGATCGCATAGGGGATCGATAGACTGGGCCAGCCCATCTCTCTCGTGAACAGTAGCTCATGCTGGAAATAAAAAAGGTGCGTTGCCAGGAATCAAACACCAGACCTGTTGTTTATGAGCGTGCGCCTCGAACCAGTTGAGCTAGCTAGCTTTGTTGACCACAGACCATTGCAAAATCTTAAGAAAACTAAAACGCCGATCCGAACATCTTAAAAAAATTCGAACACAAAATGTTTTTCTCAAAAAGAAAACGTGAATATTTTATCAAACGCGAACATTATTTTTTTCACAAATTCTGAGAAAACTCAAACATTTTTCAACACACAAATGAATTTTGGAGATGCGAACATATTTTTTAGAATGGAAAACATTTTTTAAACTACCCAAAAAATTGAACAGGAACAATTTTTCAAATTTCCAAACAAAATTTGGAAACACGAACAACTTTTTCACGCGAACATTTTCTGAAACTGCAGATTTTTTTTGGAAAAACGAACATTTTTTAAAATTGCAAACAATTTCGGAAACGGAACATTTTTAGAAACTCCGAACAAAACTTGTAAATATGAACATTTTTTTGAAATTTTTGAACAAATTTTGGAACAGAAACACTTTTTCAAACTCCCAAACAAATTTATGGAATTTACGAACATTTTTCAATTTGTGAACTAAATTTGAAAACATGAAATTTTATAAATTTGTGAACAAATTTGGAAAGATGGAACACTTTTTGAAATTCCAAAACATTTTGTGAATGCTTTTTTATTCAAAAAATAGGAACATTTATTGAAACTCACGAACAAAAATTGAAAACGAAGATTTTTCTTAAATTTGCGAACAAATTTTGCAAAGTTTTGAAATTTTGAAAAAAAGCATCAAGAAAATAAACAGAAACTAAAGAAAGAAAAGAAACATTTGTGAACAATTTTTTAAAAAAATGCATACAGTTTTTGAATTTGTGAACAAAATTTGAAAACACGAATTGTTTTGAAATTCTGAACATTTTTGTAAAAGCGCGAACATTTTCCAAAAAATGCGAACATTTTTTTGAAAAAGAAAACATAAACTTGAAAAACAAAAAAGAAAAAAAGAAAAGAAAAACGAAACAGAAATAGAAAAAGAAAGGAAAATAAAAAACCGGTTCAGGAACCTTCTAGAAGGTTCCCGAAACCCAAAAAAACCAGCTGAAAACCTCTAGAAGGTTCCCAAAACCAGGAGCCCAGGAACGGTTAAACGGGCCGGCCCGTTGCGTCGCTGCTCGGTCGCTCGCCTGTGCGAAGCGCCGGCAGTTTGACGCAACGAGCGGCATATAGGATTTTCCCAGGGACATGGCAAAAGAACTGACGGAAAACAATGTAGTGGGCAGTTTTCTTGGGTCAGTGAAGGAGGCCCCGTTTGTAAAACCTGACATATTGGATATTTTCTGAATTCCTTTGTCGGTTGATTATCTTTTTTTTCTGGAGATAGTCGGTTGATTATCTGAAGATTTGTTCTGACCTGCATGCAGCCTTGCGTCGCTGTGGGTCATGAACTCATGATCTTGAAGAGGGTTGTGGCGACTTCAACATCTTGTTGGGGTCGATCCCACTGAGACATGCAACAAGTTATGAATCGAGGGGCGCGTGTTCGATGATATTTGACGGCACTGCTGCAACTGATGGTGCGTGCTCTGAAGACGAGGAAGTCACGAGCAAGCCTGCCAAAAAAACCAAGATATTTCACTAGTGCAGAACCAGACTATAGCCCCGGTTCGTAAGGACTTTTAGTGCCGGTTCTGTAACCGACACTAAAGGGTGGGGACTAAAGGTCCTCCCCCTTTAGTATCGGTTCGATACGTACCGCCGCTCAAGGACCACCACATGGCATGAGCCAGGGCCGGGTGTGGGGAGAGCTTTAGTACCGGTTGGTGTTACCAACCGGTACTAAAAAGTTTAGGGGTTTTGGTTTTATTATTTATTTTTCCTTTAATTTTGTGTTTTCCATTTAATTCTTTTTCGTTTGCTGGTATTTTACGATACTACATATTATACACGTTATGCATATATATAAATAGAATTTCTCGGAGAACCGATCATATATAGACCTGCTAAAGTGTGCCTACGCGTAGATTACTTAATTATGTGCTCCGGCCACCCTACCGCACTGCCGAACCACTTGGATGTGCGCGGCCCCGCCATCCCAATGTTGTACCCACGTCGCCATTCCATCCACCCAACAGAACGAGGGTAATCCTATTACCATAATTATGGCTTCTCTGTACTATTTGATCAGGAACGATGGTAAAAATTGGATAAATTTTACGGCTCAATGAACATACGATGGTAAAAATTGGATAAATGTTACGGCTCAATGAACATCTCATCACTAGTATTACTGGCATCCCAGTGTACAATCCCCACGTCGCCCATCCATCCTCCAATAGAATGAGGGTAATCCCTTTACCATGATTATGGTTTGTACTCCACATCTCATTAGATAAACTTTACTAATTGATTAGGAAAGATGGTAAACATCGGATAAATTTTAATAATCATTCCACATCTCATTACTGCTACTACAACTTAGTGTACGATGGATGAAACTAAAAATATAAAATTAAATTTACTTAAAAAATAAGTGTCCGGGACATTTACTAGAAGAGGCGCTTTCTTGTTGGTTGATTACTAACTAAATTACTTTTTTTTTGCGGGGGAAAAAGGATTTGTATTAATCAACCTGAATCAAGCTGATCCAGTACACAAAGATTTACAATCCCTTCAGGGCCAGAACCCAGCCAAACTGCAGTTTTTATGTCTGTACGAGCTATACGAGCAAGCTCGTGACTAACCTGATTCCTCTCACGTTTAATAGCCTTCACCTGGACCCTCCTATCACCCCTGGTTAGCATTTTGATCTCCTGGACTAGTGCAGCATCCTTAGATCGATCAACAGCAGCTTGGCTGATCATCCTTGCAGCCACTGAGCTGTCCGTTTCAATGATAAAAGGCAACGAACTCCATTCCAGCGCAAGAGAAATTCCCTCTTTGCACGCCTCCAACTCAGCTCGTAGTGCATTATCACATGCAAACAAGTGTCTGCATGAAGTGAAGATAATGTTGCCGTCGCTGTTCCTCAGGACCATACCAGCTCCACCATTACCCGCATGCTCGGAGAAGGCACCGTCGACGTTCAGCTTTAGCCATCCAGCAGGGGGAGGCTCCCACTTCTCTGTTGGTCGCGGGTCTGCGCCTCTCGTGCTCGGCGCCGGTGCAACAACTACACCAGCTAGGCATGCCGGGTCTGTGAGCACCATTTTGCCTTTTACAACGTCTCCCATTGGGTGCTGCTGAATACATAGAAGCGAAGAAATATAGCTATGCAAGAATCTGCAGGAAACTTCTGTGGGGGGCGGTTCCTTGTCATGAATGATCTCATTACGAACGTGCCATGATCTCCAGAATATCATTAGGGCCACCATGCGAGAAGTATCCGAGAGGGGCTCCAGAACACCGAATAACCACTCCGGCCCCGTGTTCTGGATCAAACTGATGTCCGGAAGAATCCAGTCCTTCGCCATCGCGCTCCATAGGTCCTTTGCCCGTGGACATCTGCACATAGCATGGAAGACATCCTCGCGTTCCACACCACAAAGTGGACACATATCATTAGGCTCCAAAGTTCTAGGAAATTTATTAGCCCAAGTAGCAAGGGAGTTTGAGACCAGCCGCCATGCAAACACTCGTACCTTTGGGGGAGCAGGGCACCCCCATATGGTCTTCCAGATGGCGCGACGACCATCCGGTGCCCTGCTCGAGGCGCTTGCCGATGGACGCTCGCGCTCGTTCATGGCAAAGCGGTAGGCTGACCGAACGGAGAAGACACCAGATTTCTCCGGAGCCCAAGCTAGGACATCCTCCGTGGCGCATGGAGAGGTCTTGATGCTCGTGATGATGTCGATGTCGACTGGCAGGAAGTGACGACAAAGAAGGTCCAGCCTCCAAGCACCTCTCGCATCCAGCAGGCCCGAGACCCTTCGGAGTCTACACGTGCCTTGCGAGGTAATGAGCTGGCCTGAGGGTGACCGAGGCAGCCATCGATCCCGCCAAATGCGAATTTGTGTCCCACTGCCGACCCGCCACACCAGCCCCTTTTTGAGGAGTTCGAGGCCGTGTTGGATCGCTTGCCATGTAACAGATGAGTTCCCAGAGAACACTGTGTCCTCTAGCCGTCCGTCGGGGTAATAGCGAGCCTTTAACACCTGCGCACAAAGACTATTGGGTTTAATTAGAAGACGCCAAGCCTGCCTCGCTAGCAGGGCCTGATTAAACACCCTGAAGTCACGGAATCCCAGACCACCGCACTGTTTATGCCTTTGGATCTCTGGCCAAGCCATCCAGTGTGTTTTCCGCTTACCCTCCTTCGAACCCCACCAGAAATTTCTAACCATTCTGTTCAGGTCATCACATACGGACATGGGCAACTTGAAGATCCCCATCATATAAGTGGGAATAGCTTGGAGAACAGCTTTGATCATAAATTACTTTACAAGCATGCTTACAATAAAGCAAAGAGGTGGCCTGATATGGTTAATCGACGGGCCTTTCCATGCATATAAGCATATGGTAACAATGTTGATTACATTACTATGTCTAGCAAGAGTTTTACTAGCATGTGGAAGAAAAAAAAATTGTTTGATTCAGCGAAGCGGGGGCCGTCCCATCCACCCGGTAAGAAATTTAATTATGTTACTATATTTACTAAAAGTTTTACTAGCAGATGGAGAAAGGTGTAGCTTGATTTTGTGGAGCGGGGAGGTTGCGCTTGCATATGGTAACCAAATTAATTCTATTACCATATTTACCAAGCGATCTTACTAGCAGGTGGAACAACAAGCGCTGGTTTGCCCGCACAACACGGCCGGAGCGCAGGATTAGCGTTTTACGCTCACGCTGAGTTTACGCTCACGCTCATGCATGTGTATGTGTGAATAATAGTGTGGTTGTGATACATTCGATGATATATATATATATATATACAATTTTTCCTACAGGTAGCCTTCAGAGCAAGTGACATTTGCCTTGGTGCCTTCGAAGCACGATGACAATTGGGAGTAGTTCATTGGGACGGTAGCTCATAGTAGAATTCTCCTTTGGGATGTATGACCTCGTCGAGCAAAATCCCGCTATTTCCTTTTGAAGTGCTCGTATGCGCTCCACTGGTAGGAGCGTCTCCCGCACCGATTCGAAATGTTAAGAAGGAGATCAATATGCATCTGTATTAGTTATGTGACTAGATATCGATAATGACGTAAAAAATATGAATAGTGTTCTGTCAAACGCGCGTACCCATAGCTGTTTATCAGTTTTGGTCCTTTCGGACGTCATCATGCGAATGTTCTTGAAAACACAGTCTGCACATGTATCACTCCCCCGCGCCTGCTTCAGGGCCTTTACGAGAATATAATTTAATCAGATAATAATTAATCAAGCATGATAATTAATGGTATTGAAACTAGAATTAAAGAGATGCATGTGGTAGGTAGCTAGATAGTACTACTTAATTAATTATACCTTGGGTCGAAACCAATGCAGCCTTTCTCTCCATTTGGCTGGAACCTCTTTCAAATTCCTGAACTTTGCCCAAGGCCTGCCTGCTGATAAAGAAAATGAATAAATGAGTTATTAAATAGTTGATATCAGGAAATGACGAACTAAAGAGGCCGACATATAGTTAATAATGATTGAAATTACATGTCGACTATCCCCTTCAGGATTGTGTAGTCTCTCTTAACTTTAAGTAGCGAGTCCAGTATTTCAACTGTTCCTTCGTCAACTTTAATGATTAACAAGATCCAATGGTAACTGCATGCACACACGTTTGCATGTCTTAATTAAGCGGGCATGTACATAACACTCATCAACTACCCTAAACTTTATACACTTAATTATTAACATCTAGCTAGCTAGTAAGTAAAAACAGAATTTATAGTACAAGACAGTGTGACTCACGTGTAGTTGTAAGGAAGTAGTATATGTTCATTGTATTGAGGCGCTTCAAGAACTCTAGCATGTTTTCTCTACATTTGCTTTATACCATTCATGTGTCCATGTTTCTTCATTAACGGTATTTGGGTCAATGAACCCAATGCTATAGCGTGCAGCTTTTTTCATTTCATACATCTTCATCCTGCATAATACCACAAAAAAGAATATAGTGAGGATAATTATAGGTAATGATCGATCAATGAGCACTACAGCTAGCTTGAGACTTGAATCACAGAAAGAAATCACTTATAGACAATAGCAACTGACGATGGATTTGTCGAGTGCGTCTTGATTGAATAACTGAAATAGTTTTGAATACTCAACGGACGGAGCTAGCTTATTGAAGTAATACTCTTCCTTGACTTTCACCATGAGGCCCTCTCGATTGTTACTCTTGGTAATTTTCATGTACCAATCATGCAATTGATACATTCTCGTTGGGAGGTTCTTGACCTCCTCAGGCCTGACCAAAGGTTTGCCACGGACATATTTCCATTTTATGTCCTGCTCTTTAAGCTTAGTCATGGGCTCAATATCGAGGAGTTGTCCAACAGTGATACCGAGCATTTCAGCGTTCCGTCTATGCTCGTCGGGTATTACCAGCCGACCGGCGCCGGTACTCTCATGTGTTGGTACAACAAGCGGGGGGATTGATTGCGCCGCCTGTTCTCCTAGCTGGGGAACAGTATTCCCGCATTTTTGGCCAGCTACTTGGCTCGAGGTCGAGCTCGACCCCTTTTGTCGTGCTCGATGTGCCTTCCTGATTTGGCGCTCATAGTCTGAGTCAACAGGCTTGGGAGCTGGTGCTCGCGCCATATGAATAAAGTGGTCAATTTTATACTCGGGCACTTTCTCCCATGGCGGCGGTGCCGGTTTTGATGTGAAATGGGCCTCCACTTGGGCCTTCACTATGGCTTCATTGTGCTCCTTGGTCATGTCGTAAGGCCTATGAGGAAGAGGTGCGAGGCTTTTTGGACCATATTGAAATCGCTTGCCTCCGCTGATAACCCGCAAGTATACGGGATAGTTGTAGCCTCTTTCGATAAGTAAGAGTGTCGAACCCAACGAGGAGCTAAATGTAGAACAAATATTCTCTCAAGTCCTACCGGCCACTGATACGACTCTACGCACGCTTGATGTTTGCTTTACCTAGAACAAGTATGAAACTAGAGGTACTTTGTAGGTGTTGTTGGAAAGTTTTGCAAGAAAGTAAAGAACGCGTAAATATAAACTAGGAGCTGTTTAGATAAAGAGGCAATAAAGTAAATATAGCGAGTGTGGAAATGTGGTGGTAGGAGTTGCGGAATTGTCCCTAAGCAATTGACTACTTTACTAGACCGATAACAAGTTTTATGTGGGAAAGGCCACTGCCAGCATGTCATCCCTGACTTGGAATTCAATGCACTTATGATTGGAACTATTAGCAAGCATCCACAACTCCTAACATTCATTAAGGTAAAACCCAACCATAGCATTAAGATATATTGGTCCCCCTTCAATCCCGTATGCATCAATTTCTATGCTAGGTTGAAGCTTCTGTCACTCTAGCCCTCCAATACATAGTCCTATCAACATACAACTAACCCTATGGTGTGATCCACGCGCGCGCTCATCTGATGGGCACCAAAGGACAAAAACATAACCACAAGCAAATTCAATCAATCATAGCAATTCATCAACCACCAATAGGACAATGAAAATCTACTCAGACATCATAGGATGGCAACACATCATTGGATAATAATATGAAGCATAAAGCACCATGTTCAAGTAGAGGCTACAGCGGGTTGCGGGAGAGTGGACTGATGACCCACAAGTGTAGGGGATCTATTGTAGCCCTTCCGATAAGTAAGAGTTTCGAACCCAACTAGGAGGAGAAGGAAATGATAAGCGGTTTTCAGTAAGGTTTTCTCTGCAAGCACTGAAATTGTGAGTAATAGATAGTTTTGTGATAAGCTAAATTGTAATGAGTAACAAGCAATAAAAGTAAATAAGGTGCAGCAAGGTGGCCCAATCCTTTTTGTAGCAAAGGACAAGCCTGGACAATTTCTTATAATGAGAAAAGCGCTCCCGAGGACACATGTGAATTATCGTCAAGCTAGTTTCATCACACTCATATGATTCACGTTCGGTACTTTGATAATTTGATATGTGGGTGGACCGGTACTTGGATACTGCCCTTACTTGAACAAGCATCCCACTTATGATTATCCCCTATTTCAAGCATCCGCAACTACAACAAAAGTATTAAGGTAAACCTAACCATAGCATGAAACATATGGATCCAAATCAGCCCCTTACGAAGCAACGCATAAACTAGGGTTTAAGCTTCTGTCACTCTAGCAACCCGTCATCTACTTATTACTTCCCAATGCCTTCCTCTAGGCCCAAATAATGGTGAAGTGTCATGTACTCGACGTTCACATAACACCACTAGAGGAAAGTCAACATACATCTCATCAAAATATCGAATGAATACCAAATTCACATGACTACTAATAGCAAGACTTCACCCATGTCCTCAGGAACAAAC